TGAGCAGATACATATATGGTAGGTAGTTTAAACACTTTAAACGAAGAAAGAAAACAATTTTCAGTTCAGTATAATATAATAAAATATGATAAGTATATACCTATTGGCTATTACATGTTTTACCGTTTATGATGTACACTGCTCGCGACTATATAGTAGGTAACGATGTTCGCGTATACCACGTCGATAAGTATGTACGTACGCGTATTAGGTATAATGTATATCTATCCTAATCGAATTGTATATAAAAATTTAAATAGCTAAACGATTTGGGTCAACTGTTTTTTTTCTTTCTTTTTTATACGCCATTTCGAACTTATATAGTGTATATATATGTGCAGTATATATGTGGATACGTGTATATCTATCCCGCTGATCGTACACGGAAACAATTTCAGACCTCTAAAAGCTTAAGGATCCCGCTCGTATATCGATTTGCCATTGGTTTCGCAGGTCTGAAATTGGGTCCGGCTTAAGTGTGTTTCCTGATTCGTCGGGATTTTCGATCATTTATTCTATCCTCCACTCACCCCCACACCAGCCACGCAACGGCGTCCAACCACCGGCAGAGAATCTCTCATTTTTCCACTCGGCTACTTCCAACATTTTCCCCGCTGCTTTATAAAAACCCACCACGGTGTCACTTTTTTTTCACTTTCTCTTTGTTATTAACTTCTGGCCCTCGGGGTGACGTATTAACGGATTTCCAACGGTAGAACAAAAAAAAAAAAAAAAACAGAAAAAAAGTGTACGCCGGGGAAAAGGACGTTAAATGGCTCGTAAAATTGGAAATTCTTCGTTCTTTTGACAACCCCCGTAACTCCGTTATAAATATCATTAAGACGTATTATAAAAGAGGAACTTTAGCCTCCAAAAACTTTTTCAATTTCTCTTCTCATTTTTGGGAATTTTTCATTTTATTGTGTTGATATATTATTAGGTTCACTGTCTACTGGTCGAAGTCGCCCACTTGAGTCTTTTCAACTTGTTTTACATTTTTTTTATACCCTCCTGACAAATATAGAGTGTTAATATAAATTTAATTTCGATTTTCGTAAATCGAACACTGCAGCCGCCGTCATCGAGGTTTATTTGGCCAAGATCATAATATTAATATAAAACGAAGACAAAATATTCAATATGAAAACGAACGAAATACCACGGTATAGTGTTATTTTTTATTTGCTTCAGTGAATATTATATTCAGTGCTGGTATGCAGTGTTCACCGTACCTTCTTGTTTGTGCAAGCCCGGGAAAGAGATAAATGGGTATTAATTTTTACCCTCTGATAATTCGGGTGAATTTCACTCGAAATTCACATACTATTATGCTAATTGTTACTGAATTAACGTAACTTTTCATAAGAAGCGCATGTTGCAAATTAAACAAACGCTCTTAAGAGTATTGTACGCTTTTAATCGAGTAATTACTTAGGGCGCGCGCACATCCCCCATCTGCAATGTGTGTACGAAACGTTGTCAGTTTTCACAAGCCTGCAGCGAACGAATCGTTTCCGGGACGTAATTCGCAATCATTTCGAACGCATAAGACTACGCCGTATACACGGCCCCCGCCCGTCGGTTTTCGTCGCATTTTTTCAACCCAATGTTATATTATATTATTGGTTGGCGTGTTTTTACGATAATAATTATAAAACAGTACACAGTTGTTGCACAGTTATAATCGCAACGAAGAGCGCAGTCGATGGTAAATTATATATTATTATGGATTTTTTTTCTGTTATTGTCACGTATAGTGTTATTAAGCGGTTTTTTTTCAAATAAAAAAAAAAATGTTATCCAAATGGAAGTTATCGCTCAAACGTGATAGGATATCTACACACAGTTTTTGTGTATATACATATAGCCGAAGCAGTGTCTGTGAAAATGCAAATAATTATAATGATAGTCAATGTTGAAAACGCGAAACGTATTTCGCGATGAATAGAAATAATACGGTCGTGGTCATTGCAGCGTTCAAACTATAATAGGTATTGTTCTTCTAACTTCTCATCCGACGAAAACGAACGCAACATGTACCTACGCGTAGAGAATAAGATGAATTGTGCGTCTGTGTGTATTATATATATGGTTATATAACTATATATAGTTTTTATATATTTTTGTTGCTCCACTTGCTGTCAGTAATTATAAAAGAAGGCGTTCGGAATGACAAATCATTTTGGAATACGATAGCCGCCGCCTTATATACTCCGAGCGCCGGAACACATTAAAACACAAAAAGAATAGACAATTATAATTAACCTTCGTGCTCAGAAAACACACGAACCGTGTTAATTAAATTAAAACAGTTTTAAATTTTTTTTTTTTGTTTTTTTTTTCCTAACAAGCAATTTATGCTCTACACTAAAACTCGGAGCAGTATTAATTATAGCGAATTCATCGTCGTCCAATGGGTTTTTTTTCTCACAACCTAGAAACATGGCTGCGCCATACGATTTTCCACGTGATGTATATATTATTATTATCATCATTGCGTTTCGGACGAACGTCCGGCAAATGAGACGAGCTCGCTTATCCTCGAGTGACCTCCCCGAAATACGAATAATGACTTCGGACAGTACAAAACGACGGTTGGTCGGCTCTCGTGCGTGACGTTCACAGGGTATCGATATGATGAAAACTTGAAGAAATGTTTTTAAGATGTCTGACCGAACTCGCAGCTCATCGTTTAATTCGTGTGGTACTTAACCACGCGTACTATCGCCTAGACTATACCAATAAACATTGAATATTATTTCACGTTATAATTGCGTGGATATCCGTGGATAACACGGCCAGGTATATTATAATCGCATCTTCGACGGCGCATATATCATCACGGCTCTCATCTCTATTCGTATGAACCTATACATTGATTTAAACGCCGATTAAACTACGATATCTTCTCCTACTCGTTTATATAATATTATTTAGACAGGGATATTCTATATATTGTTGCATACCTACTCTGGCCGAGTATCGAATCGGTCGGAATGCGAGGCCTGCAGCAGCAGCAGCTGATGGCGTTCGCTGTTTCGTCGGATGGGATGATGATAGACACACAACGTTAAAATAATAAAATACTCATAATAAGTTCCCGGCGGATAAAAATTGCTGGCCCCCGCAAATGGCTAGCGTCTTTGCGAAATATTTTCTCGTTTCTGCGTACACAACAGCTTAAGTCTCCTCACAGCGCCGTTTTTTAGACGCCATTTTATTATTATTAGCGTTTTACAGTGTAGAAAAATATTTAAGCATATAATAACTTTTTTACGACTCGCCGACATCTATAACGGCCATTTAAGAATGTTCTGTGTATAAGTATATCACATTTTATACATATGCATGTGGTGTGTGTGAGTATAATGGCGACTCGGTGGGACGCTAACATTTTCCATTACAACACTCGCGCATTATTATACCCTGCGAAAAGCAGAAATAAATATATGGTACGCGTGGTCGTTATTCAAAAGAAAATGGGATGTATTTTTTTTAAGAACTTTCTTTATATTGTCCAAAAATACAGTTTGCAATCTCCAAAAGGAGTTCATCATGTTTTTTAATCTATTTGGCTAGATCACACGCGATCGCTAGCCAAACAATCAGCCGTAATAACAAAGCACGCAAATTTCATTAAAAAAAAAAAATAAATAAATATTGCTGAACACAAATTTTCTGTGGTAATTTTAACGATGCGGAAATTTAAATTAAAAAATTAAAATATAATCCGAACGAACTGTGATAAAATCGTATTTAATCGAAATTATTTGAAAGTACGACAAATCGAATTCCGTATACGAAATTACATTGTTAATAAATACTCGTGTGTGCAGTATATAGAGCTTTGACGCGACAGGGTGGCACTAATGGCGGAACGTTAAATCCGTTAATTAAAAAAATAAACAATTCTAGTCGTTCCGGAAAATCCTCTGTACAATCGTATGTGAGTGTGTTGTAATCGATTTAAAACATAACATATTATACCTACATATATATATATATGGGCAGTATTATTTACCTTGCATACAGACCCTCCACCTTTTATCCTTTCACTATGCATTTATTCAAATTCTGATGTTATAGATTTGTTACTATTTATAATTAAAGACCATATTTAAAGTACTTTGAGTACCTTATACATTTCAAAAGATAATTATTAAACTTTTCCTTTAAATTGTTGATTGAATAAACCCCCTAACTATAAACTATCGATTTTATAACAAATATATAGTAATGTCATATTTGATATTTAATCTAGTCTCTACTGTTTATAGGTACGGTACAGAAAAGTTCTACAGTGTTAATATATAGGTACTTAATAAAATTAATTACTATTATTTTAAAAAACCTATACCTAGTTATGATTCATAAGTCTATTATCCTTAATACCTACATAAAGTTTAGTTAGTCAGATAACATTTTTTCTAATTTCCATTTATATACATAAACATTTTCACGTAATCAGCTTAACAATAATTACTTTTTACAGTACAAAAACGGTGTTTTAATTTTGAAATACCTAAGTATAAATTTCCAGCACAACAAGACACTTTTTATAATTCAATTAATGGGCTAAAAAACTCCAAGTAGGTGTTTGAAAATATGTTCATCAAAATTCCAAAAAAAAAACACAATTTTAGTAAACGCATATAATATATAATTTAATTAAATGACTAATATTGGGCTTGAGTGAATGCTTGGCTGGCGATTCATCCAGCTCGTTTATAATAATATTATTATATATGTGTGTATCTATTAAATTATATAATTGCAATAACGATGGAAAACAATAGAAAAAAATTTAATGGCAGTATATTATTTTTAGTGTTTTACCAGAAACACGGGTGTCGCACATACGACGTGGTGCAGTATATTATCGTTATACTTTATATGTATTATGGTTTCATAAGCACCGCGCTCTCGACGACCGCAAAAACCATAATAATAATAATAATAATAATAATATGCTAACCTCGATCCTTTGCGTCATGTTACAGGTGTCTCTGCTGGGTGGAGCCGACGAGTCCGTGAAAATGTCCACCAGCCCAACGTTGCTACTGGACACCAGGAGCGCTGTGCACTCGACTGCCGCTGCGGTGGAAGTCACGACAGCAGTGGCGGCGGCAGCGGCGGTGGCGGAGATGGCCGCTTCGGACCGTTGGAGCGACGACGGCGCTAACGAAGACGAAGACGAAGACGCTGCGGCCGTTGTGGCCGCCGCCGGGGTAGACACCGTGGCCGTGGTGGCCGGAGAGGAAGACGTGACGGCCGAGCTATCGGCGCCCGTGGCAGTGGCCGCTGGACTGGGGCACGCCGAGTGGCAGCTGTTGGCCGCGGCTGGAGCCGGCGTGGCCGTGTTCATGTTGCTGGCCCTCGTACTGGCCTACCGCAGCACCGGCGGTGCATCGCCCTCGCTCCACAAGGTGGTCCGGCACGACGACGCCGAGTGTCCACCACTGTTGGACTACGCGCCCCGACCACTGGACTTTTCCAAATACTTAGGTAAGTCTAAATTTTGATTAACGACGGCAGTCGTCAATGACCCTCGAATTAATATAATATTATTATTAAGTTATTGCGTAAGCGATAATATAATGACGTATACGTTGTCATTTTTGGTTGGACATTCGTCGTGACAGGTTTTAAATAAAAAAAAAATCAACCGATTTTCCGATACATTTCCGATTTAGATTCGAATTTGTTTTGTGAACCCACCCTCAACATTTTGTACCTGTAAAACAAACATATTATATTTTGTCTATCATTTGTCTATCAAACCTATAGAGTGAACGACTTTCCTGTGAACAGAACGTTTAATAACTGAAATAGCAACTGAAAGTTATTACTTCTCACTAAACTTTGCACACAATCACACGGCTCTTACTTGCGCATGATCTTACTATTAAACTCCTTAAAATTGGACCGTTTGCAATATAGCGTTCAACATAAATAGTCCACGAAAACGTACTAAATCTATGGATTTCATTTCGTAGTCGTCGTCCAACTTTGCACCTTTTCGCACACATAATACGTTTAAAGCCTGTATGTACACACAACGATATATACATATATATATATATATATATGTCCAATCTGCGCAGCTATACATAGGTACCCACCTCTACCTGCCGCTGCCCGATAGGTAAATGTACCCGTGGACCTCGATTGACGCGAAAATTGTGTGTGGGGTTTTCCGGTTCAATTACTCGGCGGCGCGAGAGGGTTGTCGTCTAATTATTATACACGCGCCGAGGACGAAGACGTCTAGGGAGGCCCCTCTACCTCCCATCGGTCATTAGCGTGGCATAATATTCACTACAAACAGTTGCGGCATTTAATTAAAACTGATTAAAACGAGCGCGGTGCGTATTAATTATACTGCGCACTTATCGTTTAACGATTCGATGGGAAAACTGAGAGTATATTACTATGGAGGGTACCTATATATACGCGAATAAAGCCGTGCGAGTGTGTGTGTGTGGGTCAAATGCGCGTCCGAAAACGATTTCTCGGGTCGTATTTCGTCGGACGTAACGATTTCACCGTAGATGACTATTCGGTCTTCGATTAACGAAAGCCAGTATATATATTATTATTATTTCGTCGGTTAATCTCTTCCGAAATAATATAACCTCGTTGGGTTTGATCGAGTTCGGTAATATTATTGAACCGTACTATACAATAGGTACACATTTGCGTGTTCCAAATCATGTAGTATACCGCGGCAGTATTTGGCATTTAGCCCGAATAATTTGCTGCGTGCTTCTCAAAATCTGAGTTGCCTGTTTAAGGTTTCGAGAGTTCAGAAAAAATAGGAAATATATTCTGGGCTCGAACCAATTAGCTTGTTTTGAGTTATTTTCTAGTGTCAATCGATCAATAATAATTATCGACATCGCATTATCATGATAATCGCGTGATTCAGCATACGCAGCTGTGTAGTCTCCTATGATGGAGGATGATTCACCCCAAGCATGCTCAACCTCTATTTTCCTCTAATAATGAATATTTATTAAATTTTTTTTGCAGTAAATTGTCAATTAATTGAAAGTTTTGAAAATGTTGACGTATCTAAATCAAATTTCGAATGAATAGTTTCATAGTTATTTAACGTTGTGTACTAAGAATTAAGATCAATGATAGTAAGTTTGGACTATCAATAATAAATATTAGAACTAATTTTACATCTATTTTAAAAATGTAGACATTGATTTTAAAATCAAAATTTTCGATAAAAAAAAATCATCGACTTCATAATTATATTACTAACAAGTAACAGTAGGTATAAGGGAAAGTTGTTATTTGAAAAAACCATTGGCCACAGCTCACTTCTTAAATGAATTTGAGAACACGGTCGTTACATGTAAGTATGCGTATATAGGTACTCGAAAATTCTGAAAAATCAAAATCTGAAAAAATTCCTATTATTAAAGAAAGACATCGGCCGAGTGTGCTCGCTTGGGGGGGGGGGGGGTGAACCACCTTGTAAACTATTACGCTCGCACTCTTCGGGAACCGCGAAATTCAGTGGCGGCGGGCCCGAAGTGGCGTGTGACTTTTCTGTACTTGGAAACGAAATCGTTTTAAATCACTCGCAGTATTTTTCACCGACCCCCTTCTAATAATATTATGATTATAATTTATATTTAGTCGTGCACGGAAACTTATTCGTTTGTCGTATTATTGTTTGCAGGCCGCTGTCGGAGGTCCCATCAACTGCTCGACGAGGACGCCGCATCGCAGCAAGAACAACCGTCCGTGACGCACGTCCGGCATTAAAAAATATTATATTATATTAATTAATTAGGTATAATATCATAATATTATATTAATTAATTAGATATAATTTTATAACATTATTGGGTGTCGCGCGTACAGTCCTTCATATTATATACGTCGCGGCCGTCGTTGTCCCGGCGCTGCCGATATATTATTATATATTATGTTTATGGTATAGGTGTTATATACCGTTTCGTTTCACCGGAGTCCTAATAACCAATGTTTTTGTCCCCCCTCCCCTTAATCTATTTTGTTTTGTATAAATATTTGTGTTGTATATATATATATATAATATATGAAAATCTCGTTGTACATTTTATCCTATAATTACGTGGTGTACATACGATGACTATTATAATATTATTATTATTTATCGCGAGGCGTGAATTCCACACAGTTATATTATAATAATATGATAATTAATTGTAAAAAAGAAAAAAAAAATTAAACAAAAAGGAAACCATCAAAGTTAAAACAAATCAAATTCGTGTGTTTTTTTCGGTATACGACGTCTCGTGTTATACTGCACGTTATCTAGTCATGTGAATAATATAATATACATAATATTATAATAATACTTTACATTTTAATAAAAATAAGAATTAATATGTCAACTCACTATTGAATCGCTTCACAATATAATATAATAATTATTATTTTATATCGGGCGCAATATTCTCGGTTAATAACTTTTGACGTACTTTTACGGTTTCCATTATCTATTACCAAAAAAGAAAGGTAAATTTATTTCACGTAAAATTGTAATAACATTGTGAATTTATTTTTTATTTTATTTTGCTCTTAGTTATATTATATGTGCTAATTTTTATTGTCACCGATTTTTAACGATAAAACGCTTTTTTATTTTAAAGTATAACGTTGTTTGACTTAAAATAATATCATAATATATTATCATTATTATTATTATTATTATTCTGTAATATTATTGTATATAGCAGTGGCATGTATTATTATTAATTATTATTTTAATCGATGTAAGTTGATACTATGTGTTAAGCGAATATATGAATAAAAATTATAAATACAAATTGTATTGCATATGCCGTGTACCTCTATGTTCTTCAATCGTCGAAGAGGTGACTTTAATAGTTGAATATTATTATTGTTGGTCAAAACAAAAAGGAAACCCACTCTCAAAAAGCCAATCACAACAGCGTCCTATAATAACTCATATAGTGCAGAATATCGTACGCAGTACCGACGAAGGTAAACGTCATAATATTATGGCACAAAAACGGCCAACGAAATATTAAAATAATGTAATCATAGCACACACACACACACACACACACACACACACACACACACACACACACACACACACACACACACACACACACACACACACACACACACACAACATTTAATCACACGACGAGCACTCATCGTCATCCGACAGTACCCTTGCCGAAATCCACGCCAATACCTTATGGCGTAATATAATAATAATATATTATTCGTGGGCGTTCATTCGAAAACGGCTACGTTTTTATTTTTCGGGATTGAGAGGTTTTTTTTTTCAATCCCGATGACGTTGTTGTTTGCATTAAATCCTCGCGATTTTCACAGGAGCTTAATATACTGCGTGCGAGTATACGTTGATCGGATAAAAATTGGCGGTAAAAAATAAAGAAACACCCTTGATTTAAATCAAATTTTGTTACCTCCTTCTCCCGCTTAAGAGTCCCTTGAGACTAAAAAACGTCTCTCGGTGTCATCTCTATACCGCAAGTGGAGAGATCGTCGTCACTCTCATCGCTGTCGAAGTTGGTTTTCAGAAGTGGAATATTTTGCAGGTGGTCGTGTCGCTGTGCCTCGACGCTATTTCGTCAGTCTTCCTATAGTAGCAGCATTATGTATGGTAATGTAAAAGCAAAAATTAATTGTATTCATTTTCATGCCATAAAAATACAAGTAGGTCAATAGAAAGAAAAGAATATCGCCAACGAGATTACAATATATTTTCGTTACAAACAAGACCCGTTATGGGAAAGCTCACTCTGCAGCGAATTCGGAAATTTCCCGGTTTCTATGCTTATTTTAATGGAAATGCAATATATACTATATTATAATTCAATAATATATACAATCAATATAATTATACGGACAAAGATTAATAAGCATTTATTTACAGCAACAATCGTAACAAGCTACGTACCTACACTGGAAACTACACGAGGGCGAACACAAAGGAGCGATCTAAGCTGGTGTTCTAAGCTTATATGTTTAGAAACCAACTGAGACTATAAAAAATGTGCAAATATTTGCACTTTTTCCGATGTAAAAAAATAGCTTCCCAAGCCGATCGAATCCCTTCTCCCTCCCGCCTCACTCTCCTGCAGCTCCTAAGCGTACTTTTCACACCGTAAAATAAATTTTTCTCCGAATTTTGTTGTCATCGAGATTTTCAATGAAGAAATTCGTAGTACGTATCGGATACATATTTTTAAGCGTTCAAAAATGCGTGCAGTACAACAGCGATACGTACCGATCCGTATCGGACTCGTAACTCGATACGAGTCGGCGGCACTCGCCGAACTATTCCTACATTATAATATCGATACGTAAAGAATTTTCATTTCTGAAACTCATTTATCCCATCGTCGGTTGTGTCCTCGGTGGCATTACAACAACAATAATATTATTATCACGCAGAGGCCGGTTCTGCGGCTACGGGTTTTTTTTACGGTGAGCTCGTATCGTCATATCGTAATACATATAATATCTAAATATGTATATAGGTACATACCGCTGTTGTGTTCCTATACCACTTCGTAGCCGCCGTCCGCGCCATTATATCCAATTAATTATAATATATTATTTCACATGCGCTGCGTACATTGTATACGTGCACTCGGGGGAAGATGATTCATTGCCGAGAACGAGTCCATACGAGATATATATGTATATACAAATATTTGATATTTTTTTTTTAACGGTAAACCGGGCAAAGACGAGAGAAACGAATAAAAACGTCTCCTACTCGTCATATTATTATATACAGGAGGGGCGCAATCGACGATCGCTCCGGCTGGAATTATTATTATTATAATATTGATAACGTAACGTCATATTATTATCATTATACATTCCTAGTAGAACGACACGAGTAGGCGTTGGTGATTGGTTTAATATTTCTCTACCCAACCCTTCTCATCTGCACGAGCTATCGCAAGCTTATCAAGTGAGGGTTGCAAATATTATTATTGCAAACGCTTATTTTCTATCTCTATGTTGTGTTTTATCTATGATAGAGGTATACTCTAATGGTCGTATGATCTAAATAATATGTAAGTATGTACAACATTTGTTCGTTTGCAAAATATATTTTCTGGGTCCCCAGTCCAGTGGCGTACTTATGAACTTGGTTTGGCGGGGATATACGTTTTTAGCAAACACTAATGGTCATTACCAATACTTTGATCAACATTTTAGTAGTAAAAAAAAAGTTTTTTGGGGGGGATATATCCTCCTAATCCCCCCCCCCCCAATTACGCCACTGGTCCCCACACGATATTTATATCAGCCTGCAGAGTATATTCATAGGCATACTAACCTATCATTATATTATGTAATTATGAAATAAAAATAATAATTATTTAATATATATATAATAATAATTATGTAGTACTACATAATATTATTTAATTATCACCTCGGTCGATCGACCTGCACCACTTTGTTATTATTTCCAATATAATATTGTTTAATTTGTTTTTAATTTCGTTGCGAATTACCCGACATCAGCTGCTGCAGTAGTTGTATGTGTATTATATATTGTTAAGACAAGTTCAGTGACGACTCAACCGACGTGCACATAGGCTCCCCCCGGCGAATGGGCCATAATGCGATAGAAATCTTAATTGGCTCCAAACCTTGTAATAACATATTATTATACCGCATGATACCGTACACGATAACGTTTAACCGGGCGGCTTAACCAAGTTCGTTATAAGATTGCAGCGGTCAGAAAATTTCAGTGTTTTCACAATATTTCTCGTAATATCGCATCGTATTTTAGAATGATATTATAATATTATGACATAAAGTTAATGAGCGAACGCGACTATCAGTGGCAAGCCTCGGCCAGGAATTTTGTACGAGGCCTAATTGCCACTAAATAAACTAAGAATTTTTCTTTCACTTACGCTTTTTCTAAAATTATGTTTTTTCATAGATTTTGCAATAAATTGTTTTAAAAAAAAAAATAGCATGTCTCAACCGTGATTATCATTGCATAATATAATATTAGCCAGTCAATAGTAACTATGATTATTATTAATTTTTGGTTTTCACATATTGATTTGAATATTAATAAATTACTAAACAATGATTGACCAGTATGCTAGGTACTTAAACCGTAATTAAATATAGTTATATCGTTAGATATTTAAAATACAGTTCTCAGAAAAGCACACAATTATACACATCAGTTATCACAAATATCAAAACGGTAAACAGTATATTATAATTTACTATTTATATAATATAACTAACAGTGGGCACTGGGCACATACATATTGCTTTATATTACATTAGGACGTGTTAGGTAATCATTGGCATAAGGTAGACTTATACTTTTTACCACGGATGATATAAAAAATCATTAGATTTCAAAGTTTTGATAAGGATTACAGAAAAGTAATATTTAACGATTTTTAAAATAGTTATTTAAATGTATATTATACTCGTAATATATCAAGTATTAACAGATGTCGGCTAAAATGAACACGGTAAACTAGGGGGGGATATAGCCCCTTTAGCAACCCCCCCTGGCTACGCCGCTGCATATACCATGTCCAATGTCCATATAGTAGCACAGTTGCTTACTCTTTTAATAATATTCAACTTCAAATTTGTTACAGGATTTTAAAAATTGGCAAGTCGTAATTGGATCATTCGTACTTTTGTCTAGCATTAGGTTTTTGCTTAGTTCAATATTTTATTTAAATTAAAAACGTTCACGGACAACCAGTGGC